CTTGCGCGCCTTCAGCAGTGCGGCGTCACTTGGGTGGAGGCTGCTGCTGCCATGGGAAAAGGCATGGGAAAAGGCAGTTTTTCTGACAGGGTTAGAGTGGAAAGGTCGATGCAGTGGTTTTTGATTGTGTCATTGGGAGGGAACAACATGACTTCAGACTTCTTTTCATTGAAACTTAAGAAGTTTAAAGCCATCCAGTCCCTGATGTCAGCCAGGCAGTCGAGCAGAGGTTGACTAGAGCATGTACCATTGTGTCTTAGAGGGAAGTAAATTTGACAGTCGTCGGCATAGAAGTGAAAGGGTATGTTGTGTTTCTGGAAAATAGCACTAAGTGGCAGCAGGTATAGAGAGAATAGGAGGGGACACAGGATGGACCCCAGCGAAACCCCCCATTTAAGCTCTGTCGCTGCAGAACTAAAATCCTTGATGGAGACACAGAAAGGAGCTGTCAGCGAGGTAGGATTTGAACCAATTGAGGGCTGACCCTGTGATGCCCACCCACTGCTCCAACCTAGCAATGAGGATCTATCTCATGGTCGATGGGTGTCAAAGGCGGCTGTGAGGTCCAATAGGACAAGCAGCACAGAATCACCAGTATCTGTGGATCTGAAGATGTAATTAAAAATCTTCAATAGGGCAGTTTCAGTGCTGTAGAGAGGTTTAAAGCCAGATTGGAATAGCTCTAAGATGGCGTGATCCTCCAGGAAGCCCTTCAACTGGGACTCAACTGTTTTCTCCAGTATTTTAAAAACAAATGGGAGTCTGGAGACAGGCCGGAAGTTGGAAACGACTGAGGGGTCAAGGTTTGGTTTTTTCAGGAGAGGCTAGACAACAGCATGTTTAAAGGTCTTTGACACCACACCAGTGGATAAACTACTGTTTGCTATAGCAAGAATGGATGGACCTAGAGTAGGAAAAACCTCCTTTAGTAGTCGAGAGGGGACCACATCAAAGGGGGAACCAGAAGGTTTCAAGCTGCACATGACCTGCTCTAGAGAAGTCAAGTCAAGTCAAGTCATATTTATTTATAGAGCACAATTTAAAACAGATATACTGTTATCAAAGTGCTTAACACTAAGGGTAACACTGAGAAATAAAAAGCAGTAAGAATATACCTTAAAAAATTAAAACAACAGCATTAAAATTAAGACATGGAACACGATATACTAAATCAACTCACACAGTATGAAACGCCAGAGAGAACAGATATGTTTTTAGCAGGGATTTGAACACAGGAAGGGAGGTGGCATGCCTAATGTTGGGGGGTAGGTTGTTCCACAGTTTGGGACCCATGACTGAAAACGCCCTATCTCCTCGGAGCTTCAGTCGTGTTTTTGGAACAACCAAAAGCAGCTGATCGGATGATCTCAGAGCCCGAGAGGGAACATATGGTTCCAGTAGCTCAGAGAGGTAGATGGGTGCGAGGCCATTTAGGCACTTACAGGTCAGGAGGAGAATTTTGAAATCAATCCTAGTTCTCACAGGAAGCCAGTGTAGGGAGGACAGAACTGGTGTGATGTGTTCATACCTCGGTGTACCGGTTAAGAGCCGAGCTGCAGCATTCTGGACGAGCTGTAGCCGTGAGATAGAGGCCTGGCTGACCCCAGCATACAGTGAATTACAATAGTCCAGGCGGGTTGTGATGAATGCATGGACTAGTGTCTCAAGGTCGGGTCTAGACAGCACTGGCTTGAGCTTAGCTACCTGCCGCAGTTGGAAGAAGCTTCTCTGCAGAACTGAACTGATCTGTTTGTCGAACTTAAAATCCGAGTCAAAAACCACTCCAAGGTTTTTAACAGAGTGCTTCAGATAAGGCCGAAGGGAGTCCAGGTTCACAGGATAAGAGGCGGCAGCTGAGCTAGGGCTAAAGACAATGACTTCAGTCTTCTGGTCGTTAAAACTTAGAAAATTTGAAGCCATCCATATCTTAATGTCGTCCAGACATTTGAGGAGAGGGTGGACGGAACAAGCACTGGCTGGTTTCAGTGGCAGGTAGATCTGACAGTCATCAGCGTAGCAATGGAATGGAATACCATGTTTTCTTAGGATCGACCCCAGCGGAAGCAGATAGAGTGAAAATAGAAGGGGCCCGAGAATCGAGCCCTGCAGGACACCGTAGGAAAGAGGCATTGAAGTGGATAGATTTTTACCCACCTTCACACAAAAACTCCTGTCAGAGAGGTATGAGCGGAACCAGTCTAATGCAGCACCTGTAATCCCAACCCAGTGTTCAAGCCGAGAGATGAGGATACTGTGGTCAACAGTATCAAAAGCGGCAGTAAGATTGAGGAGTACAAGAGCCACAAAATGGCCAGAATCATTTGCTGTTAAAATGTCATTACAAACCCTAACCAAAGCTGTTTCGGTGCTGTGGAGCTGCTTGAAACCAGACTGAAAGACCTCAAAGATTTTGTTCTCAGTTAAAAACTGATTTAACTGAGTAAAAACTACTTTTTCCAGGATTTTGGACAGAAAGGGGAGTTTTGAGATTGGCCTGTAATTTGAGCAGGCTGAAGGGTCAAGACCAGGTTTCTTAGAGAAGATAGAGTGATGGGTTCAAAATGGTCAAATAGAGCTACAGATTGAGGTGGGATGGATGGGTCATGAGTTGGAGGGGAAATGAGAGCCCTGGTGGTCGTAATTTTTTCCAAAAAGAAATGTAAGAAGTTCTCGCACAGCTCAGTCGAGGCTTCCAGAGGTGATGGTTCAGTGAGGTGGAGAACAGAGTTTAGGGTAGAGAAGAGGACACGTGGGTTGTGAGAGTTTGAGGTTATGATATCAGAAAAATATTTGGATTTAGCAGCTTTTACTGCTTTCTGATAACGGCGCCAACTCTCTTTATTTGAAGAGATCTGCAGCCTGTCTTTCCTCCATTTGCGCTCCGCCCTCCTACATTGCTGCCTAACGGCCTTGGTGACGTCACTGAGCCAAGATTCTGCTCTGAGTTTTGATTTTCAAGTTTTAACCGGAGCGACATGATCTAGAGTCTTTAAGCAGACAGAGTTGAACTGGGATGTCAGCGCCTCAGTGGTGGTGAGAAACATCGGGGGCTGAATGATCATTTCAGAGTTATAAGCATCTGTGAAACGTGCAGCGGTGAAGTTGTTAATGGCCCGTCTACTACGTGCAGGAATGCACGTCTTAGGAGTTAGATGGGGGAGGGTGAACTCGAACTGGGCTGGCATGTGGTTTGAAAAAAACATAATCACCAATTTCAAGATTACCAACAGTCACATCACGTGTTAAAACAAGTTCCAGTGTATGTCCGTGCTCTTGGGTGGGACCGTTTACATGCTGAGTTAGATTAAATGAGTCCAATAAATCTAAAAAGTCCTTAACCAAGGGCTTCTCCTGATAGCACACATGCAAATTATAGTCCCCAATAATGAAAACATGATCATATTTTGGTGTGATTTAAGCCAAGAAATCAGAAAACTCATTCATGAAATCCTTAGATTGAGGTGGGCGGTAGACGAGCGCACATAATATCAAAGGTGAATGGCCAAGTCCAAAGACGCTCAGCTCAAAGCTGGCACAGGAAACTGGGATGGGCAGTTGTTTAAAGTCAAAAGTTGGTTTGAATATTGTTAATAATCCACCACCGCGCCGGCCTGAATGCCGCGGTGCGTTAAAATACAGACAGATCGGTGGCAATAATTCCGTCAAGGCGCTGGACTCACCCGGAGCTGGGACAGCTCCGGGTGACAGCTGGGACAAGCCGGTCAGCAGAGCAGCAGACCAGGAACTAAGGGCACGGTGATTAAAAGCAGAGGCAAAGTGGGGGTAAAGACGTCCACAGGAGACCAGTGAGGCCGTGATCAGAGATGCAGCTGGGACGTGGAGCCAAGCACCCAGCCCAGTGGATCGTGCACGGTTGGAAGGTGCAGAGTCATCCAGGTTGTTGTCGAGGGTGGAGCACCAAGGTTTCGAGATTGATGGAGTTTGAGGTTGCCATGGGGCACCGGACTTGGGATGGTACGAGTGCTGGGTGATAGCTGAAGGTTGAGGTCATAGAGGGACGCTGGACTTGGGGTGGAACGAGTGCTGGGAGATCACTAGAGGTCGAGACTGCCAAGGAACGATGTGCAGACTGCGAGAGGACCACAGCCCCCTTTCAGCTAAGACTCTGCTTCTTTTTCCTCATCCTGAAGTCTGTTATTGACTGTGATGCCCTTTATCTTTTTATTTTACAGACTGTCCTACCTACTCGTGTTTAACATTTAGACTTTCTACAGCATTCTTTTATGTTTGTTGTAATAAATTATTGTAAACCTTAACTGGCTGGTTTGTGAAACACTGCTCACCCTTGCGATTGTTTACTTTGTTTGATTCTGATTCTGATTCTATTTTTTATTCCTTGTTTAACTAGGTGGCATTGCTGACTAATTTCATTTTTTTCTGTCTGCTTAAAATAATAGTAGCACCACTCGCTACTACACGTCCAAATTTTTTTTGTCATTAACTTTTTCACACACACATTAATACTGTACAGTAATATTACTGTAGAGTCCACAATTGTGTGTAAAAAATAATAAATAATATGTTTCCAATATTTTGGACTGAACATCCACAAACCGTGGTAGAGTGAGTCTGCAGAAGTCGAACCACAAAGTAACAAGGGCTACTGTAATTTATCCTAAATTATCAACCCTACTGATATATCAGTTGGGCTCTATTCAAAATATCTAAAACATTCTTCCAAGAGAACATAAAATTTTGTTATATGACGCACATGGAAGTGACATTTACTCTGATTTACAAATTCTGATAAAATCACATTCAAAACCCATTCATCATCATCTTAAAGCAGTTATGACATGAACTTGTGTAAATTAATTACTATCAAACATGAAGACAGTTTGACTTATAAATATTCTAAAAATTAATTATCTGCTCATTTAATTTTGTAAGTGACACCTTTCTGTGAGGACTTGTTTCTTTTTAAATAAATCTGATGTTGCTGGTCTTTTACGCATCGTCAAGCCTGCACACTTTCCTACCTGTAACTTTGAGTTGAGTTGTTCTTCGCACCACTCTGGATCCATACTGTAACTCACAGGTGTAATTTCCCCCATCACCCTCCTCTATCTCAGAAATCCAAATATGGGTGGTGTTAATGAAAAGGGAGCTTCTCCATTCTACTTGCTTGCACTCCTAATAGCAGACACAGGCATAACGGGTTCAGTTACAGCAGTGTACAGGTGACTTCATGTGTGCTTTTCAAAGATTGTGTTGTACCTTGTACCAGGTCATCTGTGGCTGTTTGTAAGGAGCCAAATAGTCTTCTATGTCAGGGCAGATGATCATTTTGCTGTGGGTTATCTCCGCTTTCTCCAGACGGCGAATTTTGCTGCTGTAGCACTTCCCCTCATCACTCTCGTCTACTATCATTGACATGGACACTTTCATGCAGTATGTTGAGTTCCTGAGGTGACACAGGAACAGCATAAGTAACATGGTTTGAAACAGTAATTATCCAGATATAGATTAAAAAAGTAAGTCCCCATAAAAACAAAATTTTAGTTACAGACATATAACACATTTAAGAATAACAAACTAGATGTGCAGTCTGCATTTCCAAGGAAAGTCAAATCAATCTGAGTGGGTTTGTTTTGGGCTGATTTGTTTATCCGTCCACAAATTAGCCACAACAGTGACATGACTCATTTCTCCATTTGCCCAACACACAGTGTGTGAATTTGTATGTGTAACAGACTAAATGCTATTTTCATGGTTAGAATACTGTGCAGATACTGCTATTGGTATTTGGGGTATAGTATGGGCCTCTAAAAACAGTGTTTCATAAACATCACTGAAGCAACAAGCTTGCAGAAGAAAATACATGTTCTACAACATATAGCATGCATAAAACCCAAAGCTTTCATGAAAATAGAAACTAATAAAAGATATTTGGACAATCTTTGAATCATTGTATTTCCGAGGACTGAGCCAGTACTAGATCTGGGGATCAAGGCCTTTTTCACTGATGATCAGTATCAGATTATCATACCTGACAACATTTTGACCTGGCCACTTTTTATTTCTCTATTAACCTAACATGCATGTTTTTCTGTCTGTGGGAGGAAACCAGAGTACCTGGAAAAAAACACAGGCATGCAGGGAGAGATCATGCAAACTCCACCCAGAAAGGCCCCATGGATTTAATCCAGCAACCTTCTTGTTGAGAGACAACTCCATCAACTACTGTATGAGCTCTACCCATTCTACACCTACACCCATTCAATGCCATAACAAATGAACATTCATGGGCAGCTGTGGCTGAGTGGTTTGAGCAGTCGTCCTCCAATGCAAGGGTTGGGGGTTCGAATCCACCAGCAGTCACATGCCAAAGTGTCCCTGGGCAAGACACTGAACCCCTCATTGCCTCTGATGTGTGTCCCATCAGTGTATGAATGTGATCTCAAAGCACTGATTAGTCTCTTTAGAATGATTTGTTCAATTAGCTTTGTAGAGATCTAGTAAAGTGCTGTATGAATGGGTAAATGAGGGCACAGATTGTGTGTAAAGCGCTTTGAGTAACTGGATAAGATAGAAAGGCGCTATATAAACCATAAAAATCTGATTAAAATAAACACAGTTACTTTACCAGAGCAAAATCATAAAATCATTAAATGTGGATTATTGAACATCAGATCTCTTTCCTCTAAATCCCTGTTAGTTAATGAACTGATAACTGATCATCATATTGATTTATTCTGTCTGACAGAAACTTGGCTACAACAGGAGGATTTTGTTGGTATAAATGAATCCACTCCTGTTAATTATTTAAATTTTCATGTTCCTAGAACAACTGGCCGAGGTGGAGGAGTAGCTTCTATTTTTCAGTCAGGATTATTGATTAATGCCAAACCAGTTATTAGTTATGATTCTTTTGAATCACTGTCCCTCAGTCTTTCTCATCCAAAATGGAAATCAGAAAAGCCACTTTTACTAGTTGTTATATATCGTCCACCAGGTGCTTACTCTCAGTTTTTGTCTGAATTCTTAGAATTATTAACTGACTTATTATTAAATACTGATAAAATCATCATAATGGGTGATTTAAATGTTCATGTAGATGTTGATAGTGATAGCTTAAACATAGCCATTAATAATTTAATAGACTCATTTGGTTTTGCCCAAAACGTCCGCACATCTACTCATTCTTATCATCACACTCTTGATTTAGTTCTGACCTATGGTATAGAGATTAAGGATGGTAATAGTTCCTCAAAATCCTGTTCTGTCCAACCATTTTTTAATAACCTTTGAGTTTGCATTAAATGACTACACAGTCACTGAGAGTAAATTTCATCTCAGCAGGTGCTTATCAGAAAATGCTTGAACCAAATCTAAACAATCTCTTCCATCAATGTTTTCCTCTGTCTTGCAGAGTAATGCATCAGAGAACAGTGACTTAGATCATCTAGTTGATCATCTTACAACTTCAATGCAAACTTCACTTGATAAAATTGCTCCACTGAAAAAGAAAGTAATCAATCAGAGGAAACTGGCTCCTTGGTTCAATTCTGAGCTACACACTTTAAAGCAGGCATCTAGAAACCAGGAGAGAAAATGGCACTCTACTAATGTTGAAGAATTTTATATAACTTGGACAAATAGTCTGCTAACATATAAAAAAGCTCTCCGTAAAGCTAGAACTTTATATTACTCATCTTCAATAGAGGAGAATAAAAATAACGGTTTCTGTTTAGTACTATTGCTAAACTATCCTGATGCATGCTCAATAATCCAGGTAGAAAAATCCAACAAAGTTCAATCTGGTCCTCTGGACATTTAAAAAAAAAAACACACAGACTGTACCCAGGGGAGGCCACACCTAGTCTGTATGGTTTACCTAAAATCCACAAACAAGGTGTACCTTTAAGACCTATTGTTAGCATGATTAACTCTGTCACTTACAATGTTTCCAAATATCTGGCGTCTGTACTCATCCCTTTAGTTGGCAGCTCAGAACACCACATACAGAACACCATGGACTTTGTGGATAAGGTGAGGGATGTCATCATGGAGACTGATGAAACAATGGTCTCTTTTGATGTCACATCACTCTTTACGTGCATTCCTGTTGATGATGCAGTAGAGGTGGTCAGTTTAAGATTAAAATCAGACACCACTCTGAGCAGCAGGACCACGCTTTCCACAGAACAACTGTGTCAACTCTTGAAACTGTGCCTGCAGTCAACCTACTTCACATATGGGGAGCAATATTATAGGCAGAAACATGGGTGTGCTATGGGGTCTCCAGTTTCTCCTATTGTTGCCAACCTGTACATGGAGGAGGTAGAAAAGAGAGCCATGACGTCCTTTTCAGGGACACCACCAAGTCATTGGTTCAGGTATGTTGAAGACACCTGGGTTAAAATTAAATCTCAGGAAGTCCAAAATTTTACTGACCACATCAACTCTGTGGATAAATACATCAAGTTCACACGAGAAGATGTAAAAAATGGCAGGTTGGCTTTCTTGGACTGTGAGGTCTCAGTCTCTGATAGAGGACATTTGCAAACTGAGGTGTACCGCAAACCCACCCACACAGACCAGTATTTGCAGTTTGACTCCCATCACCCTTTGGAGCACAAGTTAGGAGTCATCAGGACTCTGTATCACAGAGCAGACAGCGTCCCCACTAGCTCAGGAGCCAGGCAGAAGGAGAAATCCCACACAAGACAGGCTCTAGAGCAATGTGGATATCCTAACTGGGCCTTCCTGAAAGCAGAGAAGAAACCCAAACAGGACTCCAGTCAGCCAACAGGTGAAAAGGAGGAACCCAGACCCAGACCAGTGGTCATTCCATATGTTGAGGGAGTATCAGAGAAACTGAGACGTTTATTTTCTAAACATAACGTCCCAGTGGCTTTTAAACCCCAAAATACATTACGGCAAAGACTGGTTCATCCCAAAGATCCAGTCCCCCGGCACAAACAGAGTAATATTGTGTATGTTGTTCAGTGTCAGGAGGGTGATCAGTCTTACATCGGGGAAAGTAAACAGCCACTGGCCAAAAGGATGGCCCAGCACAGAAGAGCAACATCATCAGGCCAGGATTCTGCGGTCTACACTCATCTCCAGGCCAGCGGTCACTCTTTCAGGGATGAAGATGTTCACATCCTGGACAGAGAGGAACGATGGTTTGAGAGAGGAGTAAAGGAGGCCATCTTTGTGAAAAGAAATCGTCCATCATTAAACAGGGGTGGAGGCCTCCGGGTTCAACTGTCCCCCTCTTACAATGCTGTGATTGCTAGTATCACTCAGCCCTCTGTGAACAGTAAATAGCCATCAGTGTGCTAATGATCCATTGTTAGGCTGATGGTCCTTCTTGAGCATGTGATCAGCTGGTTTTGGTTGTCAGCAGCAAACTGGTTGATCCACCCTGAGACGGTGCTATTTAAGAGACTGAGCTGAAAACAGCACCTCAGACTGAGGAAGTCTTTCGGATGAGAGACGAAACGTTTCTAGATTTTTTTGCTTTGTTTTGTTTTTTGATTTTTTGAATTTCCAGAGGACCAGATTGAACTTTTTTGGATTTTTCTACCTGGATTATTGAGCATGCATCAGGATGAATTGAATTGAATTGAAAATAAGTACAGTCCATTTACAATCCATTAATCTAAAAGGGAGACCAAATTTATTTTTCAGATGTTATTAAAAAAAAAAAATCCAGATAAGAATCATCATCAACAACAATAAACTATACTGAACAGCACAAATGATAAAGGATATGGAGAATAACTAGTCTGAAAATGTAGTAATTACTAAATGTGCTGTCCTCACAACACATGACTATGTGAAGTGCGGTAAAGCATCCCCGAATTCGGAATCCTTACTCTCACCCAAATCCAGAGTGCTTGATTACAACAATCTTTCAGGCTGAAGAAAATAAATTGTGGGGTTTAAAAAAATTACAATTTTAATGCACATCTATAAAGACATGTAGTACAGACGTCAAAGGTACTAGTCCAGCCCTAAAGGTTGTTTTAATCGAGCGCTGTTGATTTTGGCAGAATAAGGTTTCCAAATGGGTGGGGGCAGGGTTATCTTTACCGCATTCTATGTGAAGTTAGACAGCCAGCGAACAAAACAAAAGAAGTCCTCACACAAGGCTTACATTCTTGATTTTACTTAAGACTTCTTAAATTTGAATTGTAACTGAAATATGCAGAACAATAAAAATAAATTACTAGCTAAAACACACATCTATTGCATACATACTGTTAGAGATATCTTACTTTATCATGCTGAGACCCCCAGACTTGTCTGCACAGAGACGGACTAGTTATGGCCCGGTTCTGTACAGATGAGATGGGCCCAGCTGTTCTGTGTGAGATGCCCAGATTTCAACACACATTATGGAGTAATTTTTTATTTTGCTGGCTTCCATCACGTATTTAGATTTGCATGTCA